ATGCAGGTTTGGGGAAATGATTTTGATTTGGGGAATGTGATGTTTGCTTCACCTGTGAAGCCCCCAAGCGAGGCCGTCTGGGTGATATCATGGCAGGGCTGATGGTACAGATTCTGTAGTAGAGGCAGGTGGACAGAAGCTGGAGCCATGAGTCCGATGGGATTTTCCTCAGATTTCATGGCCCTAGCAGAGCAGAAGACACAGGCAGAAGCCCAGGGGCACCGCCGATCGGTGGGCAAGTGGACAAGGAAGGAAATACCTGGGAAGGAGACAGTCTTGGTCACTCCACTTCCCCTGTCCCAACCCTAAAATTAATGTGTCATTTCCCATCTTCTGTAGGCTGGAATATCCACTGTTGGTTTAAATTGTATACAAATGAAAGGACGTGGACTCTTCCAAAATAACGTGTATGAGCTTTAGAGCATCACTTTTGGCTAAAGAAATTATTTTTACTACTCAGTACTCAGCTGTATTCCAGATGGTTACTATTGTTAGAAGTGTGACTTCCAAGAAGTGAAGGGTTTGCTATAGAAGTCCCCACTACTTAACGGAATTATGGTCTTCCCACAACATTTGCAGTAGAGTAAATCAGTGCTGTGTGAATCCAGTTTTCCTATTGATTGCCAATATAAGGATTTGGCAGGATTAATGAAATCCCCAAGATCAATAAAATCACTCAAGCATGTAGCAAACTTTTATAATTCATGGGACTATATTTGCCATAATAACATTTGAAACTATTAATGATGATCAATGTTTTTCTTGTCTCATTTGCTTTGAATTTTTTTGGGGGAGGGGGAGCGGGGTCTTCTGTCACCCTGGAGTGCAGTGGCACTATCACAGCTCACTGCAGCCTTGAACTCCTGAGCTCAAGCAATCCTCCCACCTCAGCCTCCCAAAGTGCTGGGGTTATAGGCATGAGCCCTGTGCCTGGCTAATAATTAATGTTATTACAAACATTTAAATGGTGAAGTCCATGTCTCAAGGATGTCCAGACTAAACATTCAAAAGAGATAAGAACTATTTGATGGAGATTTTCTGTGAGGTATTATCTTTTCCTCGATAAGGGGGGAAAAAAAAAAAAAAAAAAAAAAGTCCTACCACTGCTTTTGCATTAGAACACAGAATCAAGGTTTTCTTTCTTATAAATCATTTCAAAAGGGTTTAAGAGGCCAGTTGCATGTTCCCCAAGCATCGTCTGCATTCCCTGAATTGTACTGCGTGCTGAGTCTCTACCTTCGGTCTCGTCCTATGCTGCATTTGATTCCGGCAGATTTTTCGTCTGTGAATCTAATATCTGTGCATCTGTCTGTCAAGTGAAAATAACCTGACCTTCAGGGGCTTCCTGAAGACTCCACGTGTAGTGCTTCCCATTAGCTCTGTCTCTTATGCTGACAGTTAATGTGATGAACTTGGGTAGGACGCTTAATTTCTCCCTCTAAATGCAGGTAACAGGAGGCAGGAAAGTAATGATCCAGGATGCTAAATTCAATTCAGTTGCACAGAAGCTTAAAATTGAGAGGCTCATTAATCCCCAAACCCAACTAGAAAAAGGGATAAAGCGAGTGCTTCTTCCTCCCAGGTATACCCCAGAAATAAATAAGAGTCCCTTGAGATGAGCAGATACAGCACAGCACACTTCCCTTCACTGTGCACAACAGGGAGCTGCACGTTTTAATCTAGAGCCATAAAGCAAGCCTGCCGGGAACAGGGGCTCACACCTGGAAATCCCAACACTTGGGGAAGCTAAAGTGGGAGGACCACTTGAGCCCAGGAGTTTGAGACCAACCTGGACAACGAAGTGAAACTCTGTTCTCTACAAAAAAAAAAATTAATAATTAGCCTGGTGTGGTAACACAAGCCTGTGGTCCCAGCTACTGAGGAGGCTGAGGAGGGAGGATCACTTGAGTCCAGGAGGTTAAGGCTGCAGTGAACCATGATCACATCACTGCACTCCAACCTGGGTGACAGAGTGAGACACTGTCTCAAAAAATAAAGTCTATCTGAAAGCTTTATAATTCCATTTTCTTTTCTTTTCTTTTCTTCCTTTTCTTTTTTTTTTGGAAACAGCATCTCACTCTTACTCAGGCTGGAATGCAGTGGCCTGATCTTGGCTCACTGCAGGGTCCACCTCTCCACCTCCCAGGTTCAAGCTATTCTCCTGCCTCAGTGTGCTAAGCAGCTGGGATTACAGCCTCATGCCACCACGCCTGGCTAATTTTTGTATTTTCAGTAGAGACACGGTTTCACCATGCTGGCCAAGCTGGACTCGAACTCCTGACTTCAGGTGATCCTCTCGCCTCTGCCTCCCAAATTGCTGGAATTACAGGCATCAGCCACCATTCCCAGCCACTTCATTTCATTTTGCTCATTGCCCAGGCTGGAGCGCAATGGCGCAATCTCGGCTCATTGCAACCTCCAGCTCCTGGGTTCCTGCGATTCTCCTGCATCAGCCTCCCGAATAGCTGGGATTACAGGCGCCTGCCACCATGCACAGCTGATTTTTGTATTTTTAGTATAGACAGGGTTTTACCATGTTGATCAGGCTGGTCTTCAATTCCTGACCTCAGGTGATCCACCTGCCTCTGCCTCCCAAAGTGCTGGGATTACAGATGTGAGCCACCGTACCCAGCCTCCATTTCCTTTTAATGGGCATCCTTTTGAAGAGAAAGCAAGAATTGGACAACAGCTTGAATGCAGCAAGCCTGGTTATCGCATACAGCATTAATTTCATTTTTCCAATATAACCTGCAGGTTCACAGACAGCGTTAATTTAAAGTACTCTATCACACGGTCCCAACAAGCATGCTCACACCTCTCAAATTTTAGGGCCCCAATCTTTGATTCGGAAAACATGGTCGCTGTATACATGAATTGTTGGTAAACACAATATTCATTGCTTGATAATCTGGAAAAGATGTGAGAATGAATTTATGGCGATTTAGCACTTTTCTTTATGGAAATGCCTACAAATATTTAACTGTAATGTTTATTGTATTCTAATTTTTTTGTTAATCACATTTGCTTAGTTAACATGGCATACTTATGCCAAGTTTTTGTTATTGCCATAGATTTTATGTGCTCTTTTATTTGAAATTAGGTTGATTGTAGAAACATAAAAAGTCATCTGTTAATTTTAGGGCTTAGTATTTGTGCGATTGTGTCAGCGTATCCTCTCAGCACATACCTACATGCACACACACACGTAGGCCTCCCTGCACACTCACACACACAATACATTCATGCACACACACACACACTTTTCCCCCTCATTATCAGTGAGACAAAACATTGGCACATTGCCTTTAATTTTCTAAGAGAAGGAATTTTCCTTTAAAGGCTCATTCATACTTTTGAAGGCAAATTTGATTTAGTGGAACATCCTTCTAAAATAGAAAGAGAAATAACAAAATAAAACAGAAGAAGGGGGAAAGCATATAGATAGTAAAACCAATTCTACAGACACAGATTTTCTTTTTTACCCCCAAGGTTTTAATAGCATGTGAAATGGCTTTAGGAAAATTTCTTCTTATCAACTTTTTCACATTTGCCAAGTGGCGTGTTTGTTAAAAGTCAGCCATGCTGAAGTTTTGGGGAATTATGTGGAAGACACCGGGCTGCCTGCTTTCCCACGCAGGTCTCGTGGGCATTCCCTGTAGGAATTCACTTTTTGCGGTAAGCAGTTCCTCGTCCCACAGAATCAGTCAGTCCTTCCATCCACTTTTCTTCCAGGATGGGAAGGACCCAGGGCATTGAGCAAAGAGGAAAAAGAGTGTCTAAGAGAGGTCCCCAGTGGGTACCCAGAACAGACTTTACCTACATCACTGTTCTCTTCAGAGAGAGGAATTTAGGTTCTATAATAGGATTCTGTATTGGTCAGGATTCACTGACCAGTATTGAAGAACGTATATTGAAGAATTCTATAGACAGTGGCTTCAACAAGAGTTTATTTCACTCTCATACAAAAGAAGTCTAGAAAAGAACGTCTACATTGGTGGAAACTCAGTTTCTGTCTGTGCCCTGGCTCTGTAGTGCACAACTTCCACTTCTTGGTCAAAGAGGGCTGTTCAAATTCCAGCCAGCATGTCCTCAGCCCACCAGCAGAAAGGAAAGAAGGGCACAGCCCCTTCATTGACTGACATGTCCCCGAAGGACCAGACAGTACAACAGCTTGCCTTTGTTGGCCAAATACTGGCCACAGAACCCCACTTATCAAGGGAAATACAGTCTGCCTTCCTGTGGTTATGGGCTGGGCAAAAAAATCAGAAGTCCCGCACCAAGGAAGAAGAGGAAGAGGGGAACTGATGCTGAGGGTAAATCAGGAGGCTTTGCCACAGGATTGTATGACATCTTGCTAAAATAGCTTACTGCTCTCTGACCTATTTTTTCTTTTCTTAATTTTTTTAAATTTTTTCTTTTTTTTTTTTTTTTGAGACAGAGTTTCACTCTTGTTACCCAGGCTGGAGTGCAATCACGCGATCTCGGCTCACCGCAACCTCCGCCTCCTGGGTTCAGGCAATTCTCCTGCCTCAGCCTCCTGAGTAGCTGGGACTACAGGCACGCGCCACCATGCCCAGCTAATTTTTTTGTATTTTTAGTAAGAGATGGGGTTTCACCATGTTGACCAGGATGGTCTCGATCTCTTGACCTCGTGATCCACCTGCCTCGGCCTCCCAAAGTGCTGGGATTACAAAATTTTTTCTTTTTTAAGAGACACGATCTCACTCTGTTGCCCAAGCTGGGGTGCAGTGGCACAGTCATAGCTCACCACAGCCTTGAACTCCTGGCTGGGCTCAAGTGATCCTCCTGCCTCAGCCTCCTGAGTAGCTGGGATGACGTAGGACCCTGAGTTCTTTTATGCTTCCTAGATTTCTTTCCAGGCCGATACATAGAAATCACAAATGAACAAATGTGATCAAACTTGAAGACCATTTCTAAAGAAACGCTTTGGCTCAGACCCCATTCTGTGACTGCCTGTTAACGCCTCCTTGTAATTTCAGCGGAAATTCTAGAATTGGCTGGAAATGCCGCAAGGGACAACAAGAAGGCCCGAATAGCCCCGCGACACATCTTGCTGGCAGTTGCCAATGATGAGGAGCTGAACCAGGTATGTCTAAAGCATCGCGAGAAGCTGCAGAATAGGTTCGCCAAACATACTAACGTGTGGGGCTGGCTGGCCGTGAGTCACTCCCGCTGCGGTTCCCAATTACATTTATATAAAAAATGTCAGGCCGTATAAAAGAACAAATTCTGCTAGCTCTATCATTCACATTCGAAATAGATCTCATTAGATATTCTAGGTCTTACCAGACCTTTCTTTTCTCTTTAAAGATAAGTTCTGTGTGTTGCTGAAGAAGTTGTGGCACAAAGTTTAGTTATTTCTCTTCACTTTCTTCACCCAAACTTGATTGACAGTTTTTTCTGATGAAGGCAGAAGACTCTTTCTTTGTATTTTAGAACTGACCCTTTTTATTCTGAAACTGACTCCAAAGTCAAGTGAATATCGCCTCTTTGTCCACAGTATATGTAAGGTGGTAGGTAAATAGCATAAGAATTTTTATTTGTTTCATTTATCTTTATTTTCTAACCTCTTTCTTGTCAAACTTTAGTAAAGAAGCCATTTTTATGGCCAATCCGTCACAGACTGATGATTTCCAAAAATGTAATAAAAATTACTCGAAAAATTAAAAAGCAAACTACAAACCACAATTTTTTTGTGATCAGTTTCAATAGGTATACACTAACTGTCAGTCTGCTGTGGAAGTTTCTAGATGCTGACTATACTTCTCTTGTCACTGACGGGTAACTACCAGTTCAGGGGTGAGCCGTGGTTGCAGACCATGCTTGGGGTAGTGTTGGTTTAGAATCTGCAGAATATTTTAGTGGAGTAGTACATATATGTTCTTTACCAATAAATAAACATATGTTGATGGGGAAGAGCATGGCCAGATATACTTTACTGATGGAATGTGTGTGCAAGGTTGCAGAGACCACTGGTCTCTCATTAACTGGGTCTAGTCTTTGCAATGACCTTTGAACCTCATTTTCTCAAGCTGCGCTCCCTGCATGGGGAGCTCTTTATCTTCTGTTGCATCTGGAATTCCAGAGCCCTGGGCAACATCCCTGGTTTCAACTTCTATATCCCTTCTATTTTGCTTTGCTTTGTTTTGCTTTCTGTACATCACAGGATGCCTTGTTACCCTATAGAGAAATGCTCCATAACCAGAAGAGGGAAAGGCCAATTAACTGGTGTATTATGCAGTTTCTTTATGAAAGCAGAGGCCGCTTTTAACCATTAGAACTGTATGAAATCCAGGCCGAGTGTGGTGGCTCACGCCTGTAATCCCAGTACTTGGGAGGCTGAGGTGGGCAGATCACCTGAGGTTAGGAGTTTGAGACCAGCCTGACCAACATGGCAAAATCCCATCTCTACTACAGCTGTGGCGGCGGGCACCTGTAATCTCAGCCGCTCGGGAGGCTGAGGCAGAAGAATGGCTTGAACCCGGAGGCAGAGGCTACAGTGAGCCGAGATTGCGCCACCTCACTCCAGCCTGGGTGACAGAGTCAGACTCTGTCTCAAAAAAAAAAAGAACTGTGTTAAATCGAAAACTAGCAAGCTGTTTGCTACATGAGTGCATGCGTTTCTCTCTTCAGCTGCTAAAAGGAGTGACCATCGCCAGTGGAGGCGTGCTGCCCAGAATTCACCCCGAACTGCTGGCCAAAAAGCGAGGGACCAAAGGCAAGTCGGAAACGATCCTCTCCCCACCCCCAGAGAAAAGAGGCAGGAAGGCCACGTCAGGCAAGAAGGGGGGGAAGAAATCCAAGGCTGCCAAACCACGGACATCCAAAAAGGTGAGCCGAGGCTGCACGTCCTGGGCCAGGCGCTCCACTGCGATTGTCTGAAGGTCCCTGTTCCCCTACAATTCATATGTTGAAACCTAACCTCGGGGCTATAGGATTACGAGGTGAGGCCTTTGAGAGGTGACTGGATCATAAGGGCAGAGTCCTCATGAATGGGAACAGTCCCTTTATAAAAGAGGCCTGAGGGAGGCAGAGATACCCTTCTGCCATGTGAGGACACAGCTACAAGGTGTCCTCTACCAGGAAGCAAGCCCTTGCCAGAAATGGAATCTACCTGCACTAAGGACTTCCTGCCTCCAGAACTATGAGAAATGGGTTTCTGGGCCAGGCACAGTGGCTCATGCCTGTAATCCGAACACTTTGGGAGGCCAAGACAGGAAGATGTCTTGAGCCCAGGAGTTAGAGGCTGCAGTGAGCCACGATGGCACCACTGCACTCGAGCCTGGGTGACAGCACAAGACCCTGTCTCCAAGAAAAAGAAAGAAAGAGGTTTCTGTTGTTTGTGAGCCACCCAGCCAGCCTATGGCATTGTGTTAAAGCAGCCCAGACAGACATTAAGACACTCACAGAACAGGAGGGAAGTTTAAAGATGAAACAGTGACAGCAGACCAGGCACCTCTGAAGGGCAGAGGACTCTTGCAGCTTGGTGCTAGGAGACAATGATGAGAATGTACAGGTAAAAAAATAAAGGGCCTTTGAGGTTAGAGCTGAAATCACGAAACAGAGTCATCTCTAGATTTCCAAACCCAAAGCAGGGATGGTTTTCACATTCCTTTGAGTACCCCCAGCAAATCTGCAGTGAGAGATGATAGCCTGGAACCACGTTTTATGTCTCTGCAGAGCTCCGTGCTGCCTTAAAGCCGTCTCTAGGCTCCTGCAGGCAGTGTCCTGGGTGCTATCAGTGGAATTTCGGGTGTTTGGGATAGCGTGATACACGAGGTAGCTTAGCTCAGAGATGCCACTGGTAGAATAATGTTTTCCTATGTTGCCCAGGACAGTAACCACTGGTCACGTGTGGCTTTTTTAAGAGACAGGGGTCTCACTCTATCACCCAGGCTGGAGTGCAGGAATGCAGTGGCAAGATCATAGCTCACTATAGCCTCAGACTCCTGGGCTCAAGCCACCCTCCTGCCTCAGCCTTCCAAAGCATTGGAATTATAGGTGTGAGCCAAGGCACCCAGCCGAGGCTATTTTGATTTGAATTAAAACTAAATCAAATTTAAAATTCAGCTCCTTGATTGCATCAGCCACATTTCAAGCGCTTGGCCACATTTATTGAGGATCACAGACAGACTATTCGCATGATCCCAGAAAGTTCCGCTGGACAGCCCTGCTGTTGCTGTAGAATTTGTGGGTGTTTCATTCCACGCTGCCTCTGTGCGCGAGAAATCCTGGGGATAAAGGAGGTATCAGCGGCCCCCTCAGCTCTGATGCCTGTCGTCGTGAGCTGCAGCCATTAAAAAGAGCAAGGACAGGCCAGGCACGGTGGCTCACACCTATAATCCCAGCACTTTGGGAGGTTGAGGCAGGCAGATCACAAGGACGAGAGATTGAGACCATCCTGGTGAAAATTGTGAAACCCCATCTCTACTAAGTATACAAAAATCACCCAGACGTGTTGACAGGTACCTGTAATCCCAGCTACTCGAGAAGCTGAGACAGAGAATTGCTTGAAACCGGGAGGCAGAGTGTGCAGTGAGCCAAGATCGTGCCACTGCACTCCAGCCTGAGCGACAGAGCGAGACTCAAAAAAAAAAAAAAAGCAAAGACAATGAACTGGTGCACAGGGGTAGGCAGGACTGTGGGGGGACAGGTGAGCCCTTTAACACACTTTCTATTTGGCTATTTTGCAGTCCCCTCTTCCTGCCTTTATTGCTGACTTTTGCTTCCTTCCATCAAGAAACAGCAGAACCCATCATCTAGCCACTGCCTTTCATGTTCAGCTTGGTGACAGCCATGAGAAGAGCTTAATAGAGGCAGCTCAGGCTTTTTCTGGATTGGTTCTCATCTGGCCTTCTGATTTTTACCAACAGTCCAAACCAAAGGACAGCGATAAAGAAGGAACTTCAAATTCCACCTCTGAAGACGGGCCGGGGGATGGATTCACCATTCTGTCTTCTAAGAGCCTTGTTCTGGGACAGAAGGTAACAAGGAGAATTGCACTGTGCTGTATTAAAACACTAGTGTATTTTTATAACCTGCTGTTTACACGCAGTGGTGCCTCCCTTGCCTTCCTAATAACGACTTTCACTGCAGTCTTGAATTATTCATTTTTAAACTGAAGAGCTGTGGCAATGTCAGCATTGTGAGAGTGAACAAGCTCTTTTTTGCTGAGAATTGTTAATGCTAACATTTGTCAGACAAAAGTGAGCATAGAAGCTCTTTCTGGTCAGTAGAGAGGATGGCATTACTGGTTTTGCTGGGAATTCCCCACACCCCAGTTATTTATACATCTGCCCAAAAAAATCCATCGCTAACTTTCTCAAACAGCTTCTGAGAGGCCCATCTTACATGCTACAATGTAATTTATCCAAGAAACGAAATAGAAATATATGTTTCCCGAATATCCTTGGTATTAGAAATGAATTATTTGCCAATAATTCAGTCTGCCTGCCTTCCTAGGCTCTAGAAAGAAAACAAACAGGGCTATACATTTGAACAGTCTTCAGCAACACAACAGCAGCCCAGCCAGACATGCAAATAATTCATTCCTACTAGTGTAAAGTTTACTGAGCAGACAATTTATCTACCAGGTCAACTGGGGCTGAAATAAGACACCCAAGGAAAGAGTGCATTAATCATATCTCTGGTAGCTGAATGTTTCCATCCTGACACCATAGTAAGCCTCCATTCAAAGAACTGGGAAGAGCATGTTCTAAGAAGAGCCTCGGGGTGGCTGGTTACTAATGCGTCACTGATGAAAGCAGGGAAACAAAGAGTGGAATTTATGTCCCTTCTCGGACCTGTTCACCGTTACATGATGATTAGCTTTCTCTCACTTAGCTAGGGGAACACAAAGGTCTTGCTCACACAGACCAACAATGGAGAATGCCCTCCATTCCACTCTACTACGAACACATAGGGTAGCATTTCCCAAGGGTAGCCCCAAGACTGTGGTCTCCAAAGGGCAAGGGAGCCAGACACACCCAAGCCAGGATCCCAGAGCCCACTGCTTCTCTCCAGCAAGGTTATTGGCTTCAGACCCCTGCCCCACAAATTCTGTGCTCCTCTAGGGAGAATGTAGGGTGCTGAGGGGAGAAGAGAGAGCAAGCCCTGGGTTTCCTTGCAGGGGCTGCTCAGAGGATGCATCACCAAAAACCAAGGCCACCAGGGTTGGGAACCAAAGGCCTGAGATGTAAGGGAAAGAAAGAAAGAGAGGGGAGATCCTGTTCCTGTTCCTGTTCCAGGGAAGAGGAAGTGGATTTGTTGATGCTGCCAGCCCCAAAGTAAAAAGCAAATCCACTGAGCTCAAAGAGCTTATTCCAAATCAGACACCTGGGAAACCGGAGGTTGTCACTCTCTATGCAGCCTTATGTTGACATTGAGTATGAATAATGAAAGAGCATTAATAAATGGAGGTAAAACATGAGGATTTTCAACAGGATTTTATCTTTTCCACATTCTCCATCTTTTCTTCCTAATGTAGCTGTCCTTAACCCAGAGTGACATCAGCCATATTGGCTCCATGAGAGTGGAGGGCATTGTCCACCCAACCACAGCCGAAATTGACCTCAAAGAAGATATAGGTAAGGTCCTGAGACTTCAGTAGAAGTGCCATAGAATAGGCCACTGTTGAGGCAAGTTCTTGTGAAGCTGGTCATTGTCAACTGGCTGTCCCATTGCTGGGTTCCCATGTCAAACTCTAAGTATAGTTGAACGGCTTCAATAGAGAGAAGCGAACTTTGTTTTAATTCTGCATATATTTTTCTGAAATTTTTATCTGGGTATTGTGCAAAAGCAAATCATTAGTGTACAGCTTGATGAATTTTTCTCAAAGTAGACCCCACTGTGTAACCAGCACCAAGATCCTGAAGCAGACCCTTACCAGCACCCCAGAAGTCATCGTCAGCCCCACTCCCAGGCAGTATCTCTTCTAAGAATAACCACTTCCTTTCTTCTAAAAGCAGAGCTAGGTTTCACATCTGTCTTGAATTTTGTATAGATGAAATCATGTCCTCTTCTGGGTCCGACTCCTTTTGCTCAACTCAGCATTGTGAAATTTATCCACGTTGTTGAGTATGCTTGTATTCATTCATTCTCCTTGCTCTGTAGTATGACATGGTACAAATCTATGACAGTGTATTGATCTGTTCTACCACGGATGACATTTGGGGTGGTTTCCAGTTTGGGCTATAGTGAATAGTGCTACTGTAAATATTGTTGAACATGTTTACATATATCATAAGCTTCAATACAGAGAATGCTATTGATAAAAGGGAGATGGACAGCTAGAAAAAGTTAGGTTGTCCATTAAGCTATGAGCACTGAGTTATTTTGCCTGTGCTTTGCCCCCTGTCCCACGAGTGGCAGGGGGAGCTGTAACTAGGCAGGGTGGAGGAGCTTGGGAGGTCCAGCTGTTACAGGTGCTGGAAATAACAGCAGGCAACAGTCCCCATCCCATCCATTTTACCAGGCAGAGCTGCCTTAAACTATCCATGGGAAGGGTAAAGTTGGCACAGAAGGGGCTTGTCCCTAGGGCACAGGGCTTGCCTGTGAGGGAGGCGATTTGAGGTAGATAGTAGTTCAGCCCTGGGTGGTAGCACTAGGGGTCCCGGGCAGCTGGAATCACTCAGGGTGTCCTCCTGACCTCAGAGGCTACTTACTGTGCTGAAAAGGAGCTAAGACAGCCCCGGAGAAAGAGCCATACAAAGAAACAGGTCTCCTTCCAGTCTCCGTGGAAGGACGCCCTCTAGTGGCCAGCATCTGGAGCTCTTTTAGTAGATGTCCTGCCTCTCACTGACACTTTGCAGTGTTCATACTTTACACGTTTCTGTAGTATTTAAATTTTTATATAAGAAAAACAATATGCTTCTTTTATTAATTGGCATGGTGGCAGAGTAGAAAGAAAACTGGTCTGGGAGCAACAATTCAAGCTCAGATCTCAGCAGTGGATTCTAAGGCCAACCTCTTCAGGGTCTTGGGAGGAGAAATGGGCCAAAGACAGCCAGGTGGTTAAGAGGGCGGGTTCCAGGTCAGCCTGCCTGGACTGTCCCAGCTTTTCTGAACTGCTTCCTAGCTGTGTGAGCCTCGGCAGGTTTCTAAACCTCCCTGAACCTTTGTTTCCCTCTGTAAGGGAAGATAACAGTAGTACCTGTCTATAGGGGTGCTGAGAAGATGAAATCGGGGTACACGGATGGGCCTGGCACAGTGCTGGGCTCCGAGGCAGTTAGTGATTGACAGGTGCTTCATTGCTGCTGTGGTAGGAGATAGTCCCTCCCATGATGATTCCATTCTCCACCACCATCACCCAAACTAACCCTCCCACAGCCAAGGCCCCACCTTACTCTTTTCAAAACATTATGTTATTATGGAAAAAGTTGAGCATACACAAGAACAGCAGAAAAGTATCGTGAAACCCTACGCAACCAGATGCAATAATCAGCACCCATGGCCACATTCGTTTCGGCTCTTACCCCTTCCACATACTTCCACACGTCATCTGCGAATGTTTCACAATGATCTCTAAAAGATAAGGGCAGTTTTTTAACAACATAGGCACAATACCATTGTCATACCTTAAAAAAGATAGCAATGTCAGCAGGTTACCAGTGTTCCCACTCCAGTTACATCATAAATGTCAAGTTTTTTAAACATTTGTTTAACCCAGGCACAGTGGCACGCTCCTGTAGTCCCAGCTACTTGGGAAGCTGAGGCAGGAGGATCGCTTGAGCCCAGGAGTTTGAGAACAGCCTGGACAATATAGTGGGGCCCCCATTTCTTATTTTAAAAGGTAGGGAGGGCAACTACAGTGGCTCACGCCTGTAATCCTAACATTTTGGGAGGCTGAGGTGGTTGGACCATTTGAGCTCAGAAGTTCCAGACCAAACTGAGCCCACGGCGAAACCCTACATCTACAAAAAAATACAAAAATTAGCCAGGCATGGTAGCACATGCTTGTGGTCCCAGCTACGGTGAAAGGCTGAGGCTGGAGGATCACCCAGGAGTTTCAGGCTGCAGTGAACTGGGATCTTGCCAGTACAGTCCAGTCTGGGCCACAGAGTGAGACCTTGTCTCATGAAAAAAAGAGAGGGAGAGGGAGAGAGAGAGGGAGAGGGGAAAAAGAAAGAAAGAAAGAAAGAAAGAAAGAAAGAAAGAAAGAAAGAAAGAAAGAAAGAAAGAAAGAAAGAAGAAGAAGAAAAGAAAGAGAAGGAAGGAGGGGGGGAAGAGAAAGGAAGAAAAGAAAGAAAATTTGTTTATTTGATTTAGGATCCAAGTAAGTCCACACACGGCAGTTGGTTGATGAGTCTCTTATACCATAGGTTCCCCCTTCATCTCTATTTCATTCTTAATTCTTTGCAATTCATTTGTTGAGGCAGCCGGGCCATTTGTCCTGTGGGGTTTCATACAGTCCAGATTTTGTTGATTACATCCTCCTGGCATCATGAAACATGTTTCTTTGTTTTTTTACAACTCGGTAGTTGGATCTAGAGGTTTCATGAGATGTAGGTTTGAAACTCTGCCAAGACTCCTTGGTCAGTGGCGAGCGCTCATGCCTCAGGAGGCGTATCATGCCTGGTTCTCTGTCTTCGTGTGACGCTGGTGGCCACTGATGCCTCTTCTCCAGATTCCACCATTCATTAGGAGTTGCAACGCTGTGGTATTCTCATTCTAGCGCTACTTCTTTTCTTCTCGGGAATGCTTCTGTAGAGAGAAACTACCTCTCTCCAGGCTGCTTTTTTCTTAAAAGACTTCAGTGAGGAGGGTGGATTCCCCTTCTACACATGCCCATTTGGCTGCTGACCTGAATACAGAGGGCAGCAGTATAGACCTAGTCCCCTGCTTCTCAACATGAACGGGCTGCCAGCTTCAGTTGCCCGGCCTTCTCCAGGCTTCTGGACTCAATAAATCAACAGTGTCCAGGAATCTGGGGACCAGAAAGGAGCCTCGGAGGTACTGGGTATAATGCACAATCTCCATTTCCCAGTTGTGTCATGGAAACCCAAGCACTTTAATGAAGAAACCCCCTCCACACACCCTCCCCCAGTGTTCAGTGACCACTGGAATAGACACTTGTAGTTGTGGTGTGGGAAGCATCACCACCAGGCCCTGGGGAAGACTCTGAACTAAACAAGAATAATGGTGATGATTCATAAAGAGAGAGCTGAGACTTGCCCCAGACATCCAGATCGCCAAGTTCATTAGAAGATGAAAACACCGGCCGGGCGCGGTGGCTCAAGCCTGTAATCCCAGCACTTTGGGAGGCCGAGGCGGGTGGATCACGAGGTCGAGAGATCGAGACCATCCTGGTCAACATAGTGAAACCCCGTCTCTACTAAAAATACAAAAAACTAGCTGGGCGTGGTGGCGCGTGCCTGTTAATCCCAGCTACTCAGGAGGCTGAGGCAGGAGAATTGCCTGAACCCAGGAGGCGGAGGTTGCGATAAGCCGAGATCGCGCCATTGCACTCCAGCCTGGGTAACAAGAGCGAAACTCCGTCTCAAAAAAAAAAAGATGAAAACACCTCATCTGCTGCCCCAAAGCAGCAGGCATCCCAGTCCGAACAAAACACCCATGTCATCTCAGAGACAGGAGAGCTGGATGCGCAGGTGCATGCAGGTGGGGTTCCTGCGGGGTCAGAGGTGGCGTTCTGTCATCTCCCAGGGCCTGTGTAGAAGCAAGAGCTGAGGTAGGAAAAGACAACAAAAAGTAGGGCATTCCCCAACATCAAAGGCGCAGGACATCTCCTAGCAGGAAAGTCCTTAGAGATTAGCCTCTCTGCATTTCTCCATTGAGAACAGCATGAGGTTGGGGGGACAGCATGCCAGGCTGCCCTGGGCCTGTGTCTGCCCTTTGACTCCAAGCACTTACAGTATATTGCAGCACTGCGATGGGACCAGGACTCCAGAGCTCTCAACAGAAGTACGAAGCCTGTAGGGCACAACACTTCAGTCTCAGTTTTTTGTTGCTTTGCTTTTAAATCATCTACAGGACTCAGCCCATGAGACTGCTTTATGGCCAAGTCACCCCTTACAAGATCCTTCATAAAAGCTTGCTAATCTAAGTCTGCTAGACGGCGGCCCAGAGACCCCTGCCTCCAGTGACCATTGGCAAACCAGGATAACAATTGGGAGGTCAATTCCCAGTTTCTAACAGTGCTTTTTTTTCCCTGGCCTACTACAACTATGTCACACAGTGTTATTCCATTGAAAGAACAACCACAGTGGCTTCCCATTGCTCTCCTTTGCAGGAAAAGCCTTGGAAAAGGCTGGGGGGAAAGAGTTCTTGGAAACGGTAAAGGAGCTTCGCAAATCCCAAGGCCCTTTGGAAGTCGCTGAAGGTAAGTGTGGAATTGGGCTCCTGTCTCCAGCTTGGCCTCACCCTCCTCTCTGGAGTCTCCAGCCTTACGTGCCTCATGCCTATTCAGCTTATGAGACAAAGTATGTCGTAACTAATCAGAAAGCTATTTTAGCATCTCAGGTCATTTGAGCAGGCCCATGGATATCCTTTCAGATGTCCCAGGAACTGCAATATGTCTGAATAATTCAAGTCAATTTGCCTCAGATCCCTCAAAATGATCCAGAGCCATTGGGTGAATTTTGCATGTGTGTCATAAAATACACATACCATAGGATTTACCGCTGCAACTATTGCTTTCTTTGTTTCTGTTTTTGTTTTTGAGACGGAGTCTCACTCCATCACCCAGGCTGGAGTGCAGTGGCGCAATCTCAGCTCATTGCAACCTCCGCCTCCCGGGTTCAAACGATTCTTGTGCCCCAGCCTCCTGAGTTGCTGGAATTACAGGCGCATGCCACCATGCCTGGCTAGTGTTTGTATTTTAGTAGAGACGGGTTTCACCATGTCGGCCAGGCTGGTCTCAAACTCCTAATCTCAAGTGATCCACCTGCATCGGCCTCCCAAAGTGCTGGGATTACAGGCATAAGTCACTGCACCTGCCCACTGGAACTATATTAAAGCATATAATTCAGTGGCATTAAGTACTTTTACAGTGTTGTGTAACCATCACCACTACCTAGTCCAGAGTTTTGATATCACCTCACTCAGAAATCCCCTAAGCATTAAGCTGTCATGCCCAGTGCCCCCTCAGGCCCTGGCAAGCACTAATCTACTTTCTGTCTCTATGGATTTGCCTATTCTGGACTTTTCCTATAAATGGAATCACATAATAAATGACTTCTATGTCTGGCTTCTCTCAATTAACATTGTTTTTCAAAGTTCATCCATACTGTAACATGTGTCAGTACTTGTTCCTTTTCATGACTGAATAATATTCCTTTGTTTGTTTTGTTTGTTTGTTTTTGAGACAGAGTCTTACTCTGTTGCCAGGCTGGAGCACAGTGGCACAGTTTCGGCTCACTGCAACCTCCGCCGCCTGGGTTCAAGCGATTCTTCCACCTCAGGCTTCCAAGTAGCCTGGTACCTTCCAAGTAGCCAGGTGTTTGGCGCATGCCAAACACCTGGCTAATTTTTGTACTTTTAGTAGAGACGGGGTTTCACCATGTTGGCCAGGATGGTCTCGATCTCTTGACCTCGTGATCCGCCTGCCTCAGCCTCCCAAAGTGCTGGGATTAGAGGTGTGAGCCACCATGCCCGGCTGCATATCTTAACCATTCATCTACTGATGGACATTTGGGCTGTTTCCACCTTTGGTGATTGTGAATAGAGCCGCAATACACGTTTTTATTTGAACATCTGTTGTCCAAGTTTTTGACCGGTGGATCCAACCTCGGATCCATGTTCCCACCCACATGACTCCCAGTCAGTTCACCCTTGTACCCTCAGTCAGTGCCAAGTGCTACAGGGCTTCAGAGAAAAATAAACCCCCTGCTGCCCTCAGATGCATAAATAGGGCACAGAGCAGGAGCATGACCTCAGTGTAGCAGATTGTGGAAGGACTGCAGTGAGGCTGGGGACTCTGTGGACGTGGGATGCGGAGGGCAATAGGAGCACTGCATACAAGAAGACACGGGTCTTGCATGAGCAGGGAGTCTCCAGTCAGCACGTGGGAGGAGAGAAACAGCAGCCAGGATGAGGCCGGGCCTGTGGGCTGCACGAAGGGTCTGGATCTGACCCGATATGGACACGCGGGCCCTTGGAAGCTTAAGCAAGGGGCTGTCCTGATTAGACTTGTTACAAAACTAATGAGGCCTTCTAGTCCAGGAAAGAACAAGAGCCCACACTTTAAATCTGCACCCACCACTCCCCATGGGCATAGCAGTAATAGATGCAGTGCCTTTTTAAAAACTGTAAGACAGAGTCACACTCAAATACAAGATAAGCCTCTGTGTAGACAGAGACAGGAGAGCTGCAGCAGCACCTCCAGGAGATTGCCGCCCCAGTTCTTGGCTCCAGGTCTGTAAGATGCAGAGTCACTTCACATATAAAGAGGGCTCGGCTCACTGCTCAGAGCAAGGGGCTACAGGAGACGCTCGCCACCTTTACGGGAAGCCAAAGCTCTGGCCACCGCCCAGGGCTACAAATGGCATAAAATCTGTCTTTCTAGGATAGCAGAAGGGAGAAGAGAGCCCCTCACCCACGCTCAGGGCCACACTGCCCACTGACTCAATGTTTGGGTCTTCCACATCTCCAATATAACCATGAGACCAAGCCCCAAATCAGGCATCTAAGACCGCATCTGGACTGGGGGACTAGGTGTGGGGAAGGATCCCCAGAAACTGCCTGATCGGGTGCAAAGGAGAGAAAAATAGCTGCTCTACACAGAATGAGAGGCTCCAACACATTTCTTTTTAAAATTATTTTTTAAATAGAGATGGGGTCTTGCTGTGTTGCCTAGGTTGATCTCAAACTGCTGGGCTCAAGTGATCCTCCAACCTCAGCCTCCCAAAGTGCTAGGATTATAGGCAGGAGCCACCGTGCCCAGCACCAACACACTTCTAAACAGAGTTCCAAAGGCAGAAAATAGGTGGCCGTCATAGATTTCCAGTCCATCTTTCAGTCCAACCCCACGCACAGCTCTGAAATACAGTGGACACACGTTTCTGTTACAAGCGCTGCCCCTAGTGGCCACGGACCCTTGCTACGCCGGTTCCTGGATTCCTGGAGAGGCACAGGGCGCAGGGCGGCGTGGAGGCATGAGGCTGGTGGCTGAAGCTGCAGCTAGCCCAGGCAGATCCAAGAGAACTGCTCCCCTGGGACCAATGGCCACAGGGATTTCCAGCTTAGCAGCCACGGGGCTTATCAACTCTGTCACCAATAGGAACCATGTTTAGGGGAGTAAACAGTAAAACAAAGGAGTATGACTGAAAGCTTGAGACAACGCTGGCCTAATTCAATTTCACAACCCACTTTTGAAACCTCACTCTCTGCAGGGCATGTAGAGATCATCAAATGGCAATCCATGTCCAAGGGAACTATATAATCAAGTTCTGTGGTTCTCAATTCATAGAAGGTCCTGAAATCACATAAGCATAAGCCCCTACACCAGACCTACAGAGTCAGGAGCTTGTGGGGTGGGGCCAAGGCATGTCTAGTTTTTAAAAGCCACTATAGGGCAGGTGTGCTGGCTCACACCTGTAATCCTGGCACGTTGGGTGCCTGAGGCAGGGGGATCACTTGAACCCAGGAGGTGGAGATTGCAGTCAGCTGAGATGGCATCACTGCACTCCAACCTGGGTGACAGAACAAGACTCTGTCGCAAAAAATTAAAAAAAAAAAAAAAAGCTGCTGTATTCATTTCCAGTGGCTACTATAACAAGTTACCACAAAGTCCATGGCCTCAAACAACACAAATTTATCTTCTTACAGTTCTGGAGTTTTAGGAGCCTGATCCAGGTGTTGGCAGGACTGGCCCCTTCTGGAGGCTCAGGGAAGGGTCCCTCCCTTGCCTTTTCCAGCTTTTAGGCAGCAGCAGTCCTTGGCTCCTGGCTACATCGCGCCAATGCCCGTTTCCATCATCACACGGCCTTCTCCTGCCTTTGACCCTCTTTCCTCCCTCATATGAGGCCCCAGGCTCACCAGACAGTCCAGGATCATCTCTCCATCTCAAGATCCTTAACTTATGAGCTCTGCAAAGTCCCTTTTGCCATGTAAGGGAACACCCACAGGTTCCAGGGATTAAGATGCAGATGTTTTGGGATGCCATCACTTTACCTACCACAGCCACCACAGAGGATCTGATGTGTCCCTTTAGGAACCATTGTGAGGAGGTAGCCCAGCCCAGGCACTAGCTGGCCAACCATATGAAAGTCATGTAATCGCTTCTACCCAAAGCTGTGCTAACGGTGCAAAGTGATCCAACCCAGCTCTTGTTCTCTGTTAAACACAGTCCACATCAGAAGCACGGGATGCTGCCCAGCCAACGCCTCTTTCACTGCCTTGTCTCCCACAGATTTAACGGGTACACAGTGGGGTTAGGCTATGACCTAGGAAACCTTAGGAAGTAACCTGCGCCATTTTCTCTCCTGTGCCCCAGCCGCCGTCAGCCAATCCAGTGGACTCGCAGCCAAATTTGTCATCCACTGTCACATCCCTCAGTGGGGTTCCGACAAATGTGAAGAACAACTTGAAGAGACCATCAAAAACTGCCTGTCAGCAGCGGAGGATAAGAAACTAAAGTCCGTCGCGTTCCCGCCTTTCCCCAGCGGCAGGTAAGTCTGTCCCCACTAGGCACGGTGGCTCATGCCCGTAATACCAGCACTTTGGGAGGCCGATGGCAGGAGTTCAAGACCAGCCTGGCCAACATGGTGAAACCCCGTCTCTACTAAAAATACAAAAATTAGCTGGGCCTGTAGTCCCAGCTGCTCAGGAGGCTGAGGCAGGAGAATCACTCGAATCCAGGAGGCAGAGGTTGCAGCGAGCTGAGATCGCACCACTGCACTCCCGCCTGGGCGACAGAGCGAGACTCCATCTCAAAAAAAAAAAAAAAAATGAAGCTCCCCTGAGTTGATTCTTCCAGCCTTTTCCCTGGAAATCAGCTGCCCCCCTACTTACATCTGAGCTAGATATGACCAAGGGCTGCCAGCAAAGCCAAGCATGCTGACCAGGTGACAAGAAACCCAGTTTTCATCCTTCAGAACCCATGGGAAGCCAGCCCACTGGCTCGTAGGCAGCTGGTCTTCCCTGGCTGGGGCCAGCCCCACTACCTCCTTGATGTTAAAGCCCAGGGAGGAAGGCAGCCCAGGGGCGGAGCGGGAGGAAGAGGCAAGCTGGTGCGTTATTTTTTGAGAGCCGTCCAGGTTCAAAGTCATATTCCCACCAGCTGTCCATGTCTAGGACACATGATCAGAAAATACCAGGCTCAAAGGCCTTGCTACTCAAAGTGTGGTCCATAGGCAGGCAGCGGTGACCGAGGTTAGAATGCAGAATCTCAGGCCTCCCGTCTCCAACCTCTGGCTCCAGAATCCCCAGGAAATTCCGTTGCTGCTCTGGGAGTTCGAGGCTTTGACGAATGCACCCAGAGAAATGAAAGTCTGTCCCCAAGGGATTGCTGAAGAGCAGGTTGGGGAATGACTGGATTGTCACAGATCCCCACTGGGCATTGTTTCAGATAAGTAATGAGGATATCTGCTCTCACATACAACGTATCCTCTCCCTTCATGCCCCTAGCCAATCCATTGCTTTAATTTTGAACACCCTCTCATCTTGAGAGCTGCCCCTTTATAATATAGCTATGGTTTATAGCTGTGACCTGGGAAGGCCAAGAGGAAAATAATGAGATCTAGGTTCCTGCTGAAATCGTATCTCAACCTAGGCCAGCTGCACTGAGTCTCAACAGTCCAGGCCCAGAGATGCAGTGAGATGCATTCATTCACTGGTGGGACCACGGCAGTGCTGATCTGTGCTGGACTACATATAAGCGGGAAGAATCCCAATTAACAGGCACCCTCCTGGACCTGCCCCACGGATCTTTGTGGCTGACCCCTAACGACCACTCTGGCTGTGTCCCCAGAAGCTGGTGCTGTGGCCCAGCCCAGTGGATGGCACTACCAATAGCTGCCGGGCACCTGAGGCCTTTAACAAACTTTCATCAACCCACCCAGAGTCACAATGCCGAAGTGACATGGGGCTGTGCCTATGAAAGGATTTATGAAGACAGGTTTTGGAGCACACATTTTTGTACTTTACTAAGCAATCTGGTTAGCATATGAACCAGTTTGGAGGGAGCTAATGAAATTTTTGTTTACTTTTCTGAAGACCAGCCATTTTTAATGCTGAATGGCTAGCATTTTTAAAGCCAAGCTTGACTTGGTTAGGTGACATAGATTCAGATACAGGGAGCTGGCACGGTGGCTCACGCTTGTAAATCCAACAGCTCTGGGAGGCTGAGGCAAGAGCATCACTTGAAGCCAGGAGTTTGAGACCACCCTGGACAATAAGACCTGTCTATACAAAAAATTTAAAATAAAAAAATTTAGCCACGCATGGAGGCACACACCTATAGTCCCAACTATTTAGGAGGCTGAGGCAGGAGGCAGATAGCTTGAGCCCAGAGGTTCAAAGCTGCAGAGAGCTATGATCACACCACTGTGCCCTAGCCTGAGTGACAAAGCAAGACCTTGCCTCTAAAAAAAATAACTAATTAAAAAATTTTTAATAAGAAATAAAATACAGGGCACTCTTCACTTGGCCAGCCCTATGACCTTGACTACAGTCATTGTGCTTGGCTGGGCACAGTGGCTCACACCTGTAATCCCAGCACTTGGGGAGGCCAAGGCTGGCAGATCACCTGAGGTCAGGAGTTCAAGACCAGCCTGACCAACAAGGTGAAACCCCATCTCTACTAAAAATATAAAAATTAGCCAGGTTTGGTGGCATGCACCTGTAGTCCCAGCTACTAGGGAGGCTGAGGCAGGAGAATCATGGGAGGCAGAAGTTGCAGTGAGCCGAGATCGTGCCACCACTCCAGCCTGGGTGACAGAGAGAGACAGACTCCGTCTCAAAATAAATGAATTAGTTAATTAAATCATTGTATCTCTCCGAGTAAGTGTGACACCTATAAAGTGGGGCAACATGGCCCCCTCCGGGCCACCCTGTCTGTCCCTTTGGCTAGGGTCAAAGGAGATCATGCATGGACCAGCCCTGCACAGAGCCAGGCCCCACTCCATAAAAACAAAGGCACTTCATGCTCCCATGGGTCCCAGGGACCAAAATGACATCAGCTCTTCTTTTGCTTTGGCACAGAAACTGCTTTCCCAAACAGACCGCGGCCCAGGTGACCCTCAAAGCCATCTCAGCCCACTTTGACGACTCAAGTGCGTCCTCGCTGAAGAACGTGTACTTCCTGCTCTTCGACAGCGAGAGCATCGGCATCTACGTGCAGGAGATGGCCAAGCTCGACGCCAAGTAGCCACCGCACTTTCCAGCAGGGATCGGAGGACGCCCCTGGGTCCCGAGAGTGGGGTTTTGCTTTTTAAAAGGAGAGAGGATGGGTGACGGTGGGAGAGGAGAGGGCGGGGCAGGTCCTACCAGTGCAGGGAGCCCTCTGCCCTTCACACTCTCCTCCAAAAGAGCCTCCATCCATAAGGAAGCAGGTCTCCGCGAGGGGTTTCTGTCCATGTGTTTTTCTCCTGTTGTTTTAGAACTTTTTTAAAAAAAACAGACCTCGTTTTAGATTTATAGCATTGACTTTTACACACACTCACACAAGAAAGAATCCTTTCTTAAATCTTCTGTTCCTCCTTTTCCAAGGGAAGAGGGCATAAAAGTCACCTGGGCTCTATTGGTGTGCGTGTTCCGTGGCAGAGAGAAGAAAATGGGAAAGATCTCACTGGTGCTTTTCTCTTTTGTTTTAGTGCCCCCCGCCCCCACCCCTATAATATCTGTCACTACTCCTAAAAAGATTTTGCTTCAGGCTTTTTTTTTTGTTTCATTTTGTTTTTTAAAGAAAAAGAAAATGAAAGGAAAAAATAAAAGATCCCGTGTCTTTCTTACAACATATTCTTTTATTGCAACATTTTCCTCCATTTGGAAAACTGTGTCCCCATGCGTAGGTCCCTCTAGAATATTATAAGTCAACAGAACAAGGCCTGTCACTCAAATGCCAGGATTCCCACCTCACTGGGCCCCAGGTCAGATAGCCCCATAGCCCCAGGCTGCAGGTCCTGCCTCCGGGAAGGTGGACCTCCCTTCATGGTCCATAAAGACAGATCCTTGGACGAAGCTGCCAGGGGAACGACCATCCTCTGAGAGAGGCACAAGACTCACTTAGGCCTGGACAACAGCCCCAACGGGATGGGCTGAGAACCCCAGGGAGGCTGGTGTCCCAAGGACTCTGTCCTATTACCCAGAGGCCACCATCAAAAGGGAGCAGGGAGGGGTAGGGTGGAGAGATGGGGCCTGAATCTATTCAGATGACCTCACCAATCGCTTCTGCTATGCAGATATCACCTAGGCCATCCAAGAGGGGCTCCTCCGGATTGGAAGATCTCTCCCAAATAGAGGAGTCATTTATATACCATAACATAGTTGGTGGCAGACATTAGTGCCCAGCTGGGCCTCCAGACAAGTGACGCTGGGGTTGGTGAGGAAACCAGAAGCACAAAACGACAAAGTCCCCCAGGGGCTCTCTCCCCGTCCCCAGCATCAGCTGGAGTTTTGTCACGTACAAATCTGCCCATCAGTAACCTAGAAATGCGCTGAAGGTCACCCACAGAACCCCCTTCTGTTCGCTAATGGGTAAGCAGACGGCACCCGCAAAGAGTTGCATTATCTGCCCTTCCCTAAACACCTCCAGTGGCTGGCAAGCCAGGCTGCAGTCTCAACCCTGCTAGCTGTGTAAAAACACACTCTGTCAGGGTGGCATAACCAGAAGGGAACCTCTGTCTGGCTCTTTCTTCTTAAATGTAACCTATGGCATGGAGTTAGGATCTAAAAGTGGAAATGTGCTGGCCGTAGTGACTCAGGCCTGTAATCCCAGCACTTTGGGAGTCCGAGCTCAGGAGTTCGAGACCAGTCTGGTCAACATAGCGAAACCCCATCTCTACTAAAAAAATACAAAAATTAGCCAGACGTGGTGGCGTGTGCCTGTAGTCCCAGCTACTCAGGAGGTTGAGGCAGGAGAATCATGTGAACCCGGGAGACAGAGGTTGCAGTGAGCCAAGATCATCCCACTGGACTCCAGCCTGGGTGACAGAGCAAGACTCTGTCTCAAAAATAAATAAATAAATAAACAGTCTGTCTCAAAATTAAACAAACAAAAGTGGAAATGCAGGGAGGCCATGAGGCGTAGGGAGTATGGGGAACATGCAGCAGTTAGGGAGTTGAAAACGAGGCTCCTGTGAACTCTTCCCGGTTGTTGCAGAACGTATGGGCTCCCCCACCGTGTGACAGCAGAGGTTTGAGGTGTAGGGCGTCTCTCCACCTCAGGTCCTTCCTTTGTTCTCAATGTGCAGCTCTCTTTCCTGCTGTCACAGACAGACACTGGCTACCAGAGCTCAGCTCTCTGCCCGGCTCTGAGAGCTCTAAATGACACACATCATGACCACAAACACATGCACACACGTGCACACGCATGCACAGCCCAGAGGAGCCAGGTACAGAGTGAAGGCTAGCTGTGGCCTCCCCAGCACCATGCAGCCAGCACGCACGAGCCGCTCGGCGGGGACCGCTGCAAACACACCTTTGAAACCCAGAAAGAATCCTCTAAGGGGGAATTTGTTTAATGCCTCTTTCTCTCCCATTTCTGTTTTATACAAGTTGCATTTCTGGCCAGCACATCATCGGCATCTCGTTCCAGAAGAAAAGCATTAGTTCTAGCACTTGCCAGGCGGGTGCCATGCGCCCAGCAGTCCGTTCACCCACCTGCTGCAGTAGCTCGCCTCCCGCCTGGCCTCCCCATCAGGGTGGAGACTGCTTCATGGTCTTCCAGCTCGTAGAGATGAACAAGTCCCGGCTCTTGGCCAGCCGAACCATGAGCCGGCCCACATAGAAGCCACTGATCTGGCCCACGCCATCATTTCTCCCCATGGACAGGAGGAACGTCAGTGCACCTGCGAGCAGAGACAGAAACAACCAGAACCTCACTGAACCTCCCGCGGCTGCACCTCCCAGAGCACCAATCCTTCCCGAGGCCTTCAGACTCAGGGCCAGGAAGGGTGAAATCGCTTTAGGAAGGTGGGTAAGGCCCTGATTTATTTTTAAAGAGTTCTAGAGGAATGTTTCCGTCACCAGCTTGGAGAACTTGTTCTAGCGGCCAGGTATCTGATAGCCCAAAAAGGCTTCCCCATGTCTAACCCAAAACTCTTTTAAAACTACAAAGCACTTGGGGCCTCTCTTACCCGGCTTGTAGGCCTGGAGAGGTCGCTGCTTCACGGAGTTGACGATGTTGGCCACGGCGATGTTGGCGTGGAGGCCAGCAAGATAGGCCATCTTGGGTGTTCTCAGGTCGGCACAGTCACCGATGGCATACACGTTGCTGTGACCCTCGACCTGGAGGTGCTCGTTCACTCTCAGAGCACCACTGCTGGCCAGTCTGTTCTCTGCCAGGAGAGATGACACCAAAACCAAGGCACTGAGCTGCTGTGGTAAGTGGCCACCAGGAGCTGGTGAGGGTGAGCTCTAGGCGTTGGTCAATAGGTGCTGGTCAGGTCGCCGTCCTGAGGCACAGCCACCCCCTGGAGGTGTCTGCTCTAGAGGCCACCCGCCCAGCTAATTTATTCGCGCCTGAAATCTCCTCCTCACAGAGGCAAGGTTGCTGATGCCAGGGTGGAAATGGGTCAACACAATGTACATAACTCTATGCAAGTTACAATGATTTGCTGAGTCTTGAATTTACTTTTGAATGCAGGTGAGATTTAAAAAATGAATGCAAGCCAGGTATGGTGGCTCACACCTATAATCCCAGGTCTTTGAGAGGCCAAGGCAGGTGGATCACTTGAGGCCAGGAGCTCGAGACCAGCCTGGCCAACTCGAGGAAACCCCGTCTATACTAAAAATACAAAAATTAGCTGGACTTGGTGGCGTCCAACTGTAATCCCAGGTATTCAGGAGGCTGAGGCACGAGAGTTGCTTGAACACAGGAGGTGGAGGTTGCAGTGAGCCAAGATCACGCCACTGCACTCCAGCCTGGATGACAGAGCCAGACTCTGTCTCAAGAAATAAAAAACAAAACTGAAGCATTAAAAATAAATGCAGAGCTTTAATAAATGGCCAATTGCTTTTTTAAAGGGACTTTTTAAAAACTTGTCTTTGAAAACACAGTATTAGGACAATTAGGTATTAATTTCTGGGACCTCTGTCCATTATAAGCCCTCAATCCCATCGATACGCAGGCCTGGGCCGGCTTTCTTTTCCTGGGATTGGTTCATTACTTCCTGCTGGATATAAGGCAGGAGCTCCTTGTCAGGGAAGGGCATTTGAGAGTAAATGACGGGGACCCGAGGACACAAAGCAACCACTGGGCCTGGCCACTGAGTCTCCCACTCACAAACAGAGGCTTAAACACACATCAGTCCACCTCTGCCACCTCCAGCCTGCTCAATACACAAATACTGAGCTTTAAGAAATGAGGCCATGTTATCAACCCCACTCCCCAATCAATCCAAGCTCAAGAGACTAAACGTTTGGATCTGGATTTGGGGGCAGCGGCACACCTGCCAACAGAGGAAGGCCTGACCCTGAATTTCCGCTGTACCCAGGTGAGGAGGAAAGAAACAGAACACCAACCTTGCTCACGTCTCTGGAGCCCATTCCCACCTCTTACCACTAGGGGGCAGCCCTAAATTCAGAAGATTCTGGTCACCTTGGCCACCTGGAGCCGAGACCAGGTCACACCTGAGTAGAGCTCAGCAAGGGTAGACCCTCACTGAATTTAAAGTCTGAGCTGCTGGGAAGAAAGCGGGTAGGCAGCAAGGTGTGGACTCCTAGGGGCAAGCACTACAGGGAATTCAGAGGGTGCTGGAGAGCAAGGAGGCACGGGGCAGGCCCGGCTGGGCACCTACTTACCAAATGCGCTCCGGTAGGCGGAGCTGTTGATCTTGATGCCAGTGCAGAGAATCACCAGGTTGGTGGCCACCTCCGTGCCTTTGTCCGTCTGCACTTTGATGTACTCTCGATACTCATTGAGAGGCAGCTCCTCCAGATTGTTCACCCGCTCACCTAGAAGGGGGTTCCATGACCAGGAGGCTGGTGGGGGCAGGCACCCCATTGAGCCTGGGCCTTGAGCCAAGGCTGACCCTGGGGAGGGACTGGACCTCTGGGGCCCAACTGGGCAATGGCTCCACCCTGTCTTCCCACCCTGTCCCTCCCTCAGTCCACTCTATGCCCCACAAAGCTGAACTGGACATCTGGCCCAAGGGGTCCAGCTGGACAAAGGTTCCAAGAAGCCCCTGAAGGGAAGCGAGGCTGTTTCCCAAGAAGTTCTGGGAAATGCTATTCAATGGGAGACCTCAGACGTGCCTCTCTGAGTGCCAGCCATGCCATCCTAACTAGGCAGGATGAGCGCTCCAAGTGCACCATGACAAAGGGGAAAACCAGAGAAAGAGGGGCCAGCTCACTGCACTCACTGCAGCACTCCACAGCCAGGTGCCCCAAGGAGGCTGAGGCAGCCGTGCGGGCCCTTCACAGGGCAGACGCCTCACCCTCCTGCACACCTCGAGGAGGCTGGGGCCCCATGCAATGAAGTGAGTGCGGAGGCCACAGCGCTGGAAGAGAACCCCACTCTCCAGCATGTGCTGAGTGGGTCTCGTCCCCTGCTCTGCACGAAAGCAACACTCCTCACCACTCTCAAAACATAAACCAATAAGCCTATTCCCTCAACCAGAGACGTCATATTTGGGGCAAATTCTTCAGATGCACTAAAGAAAATCATTCAGCAGACAGGCATCCCACCATCTGCACTGCGTCCAAACCAATAACAAGGGCAATGAAATCCTGTTTAAGTACCAGGCCCTCCCGGGGATGGGTACAACTTGCAGCTGGACAAAGCTCAAGT